AGTCCACGAGGGCCACAGGAGGGCTGTGCCCACCACGCCTTCCCCCTGCCTCACCTCCTTGTAGAGATGAATGGCCGGGTCGTTCCCGCTCAGGAGAAACACGGTCTCCAGCTGATCCCCGACCTGGACCCTGAAAGCAGAGAATTCTAGGACCCCATGGTGGCAGAGCCTAAGTGTGGCTGAGTATGTGTGTAACACCCTCTTGCAAAAACCCCTGCCTGCAAGAACCCTGACATCCTGGGATCTATCCGGCCACTGGACCCATCCAGGGCGAGAGCCTCAGGATGCAGAACTGCACAGCAGGTTCGCAGGCCAGCACCTTCAGCTTCAAGAGCCCTCATCTGCTAGCACCTGCATTCCGCCGTGATTCAGGAATGGCACACAGAGCTGTAGAAGGGGGCACAGAAGCCCAGGACACAAGAACCTCCTTATCTAGAACTCTAGTGCTCTAGTTCTGTTATCTGCCTCCTTTAAAATACCAGAACTTTTAGCCCTGGCTGGGGTGGCTCAGTGGATTGAGCGGCGGCCTGAGAACCAAAGGGTCACCAGTTCAAATCCCAGTCAGGGCACATGCCTGGGTTGTGGGCCAGGTCCCCAGTGGGGGTGTGTGAGAGGCAACCACACATTGGTGTTTCTCTCATCTTTCTCTCCCTCTCTTCTCCTCTCTAAAAATAAATAAATAAAATCTTAAAAAAAACACAAAAAACAAAACACCAGAACTTTTAGAAACCGCCACCAAGGATATTCTGACTCAGAATAGTAGAACATCCAAATGCTAGAATCCAGAACATCAGTGTCTAGAACTCTCACCTGCTAGGATAGGGGTTGGCAAACTAACCCCACAGGCCAAATCCAAACCAGCATGTTTTTATAAATAAAGTTTTATTGAAATGCAGCAATCCCCATTCATTTAAGGTCAATGGCTGCCTTCTTGCTACAGTGGCAGAGTAGTAGTTGTGACAGACACGGGTCCTGAAAAGCCTCACATTTACCCTCTGGGCCTTTACAGAGAAAGTTTGCCAACACCTGTGCCAGACCGCTGGAATTCCAGGATGGAACTCAGAGCTCTGGAATGGAACTCTCATACTCATGGATTCTAGAACCTCAGTGTTCTGGATGTTCTGTATTGTAGCGCCTTAAAATATGACAATGCTAGAACTTTATCATGACAGAAAGTAAGAATTATCAAATGGCAGAACATTCAGATCTTGGGATCTGAGAGCTCGCAACTCTAGAAAACAGCATTTCTGGTTCTTGGAACACACAAATCCAGAACACGTGAACCTGAGAATTCAAGATGTTTAGAACGCAGGTGCTCAATTAACTCTCGGATTATCTAGTTAGGCAGTAACAAAACGGTAGCCCATCAGTCAAGTCTGGTCCACGCACACCTTCAATGCACGGGGCTCTGGAAAAACGAAACTAGAATCTGAGGGTTTGCGGTCCAGTTGGCTGCAGCCCCTCCCCCGCAGGTACGCACGCTCCCTATTGTTTCACGCCTGCGCTCACTTACTCTGCGTGGCACAGCTGGAAAGGGGTGAACTGAAGCTCCAGGTTCAGGCAGCTCTCTGCAGGGAAGCACAAGCAGATGGGCGCGAGCTGACTGGCGCCCCTCCCACCTTTTCCACGCCTCCTTCCCTCAGGCCACACTTACGGGCAATGGAGTCCAGATTGTACTCAGAACCAGGCTCGTAGTCACAGTAAATGTTAAGGAAGGGGCTGGCTTTGTCCCCTGAATCCTGGGGAACGAAACTGGCCTCAGGGGAGAGCAGAGGTGGCAGGAGGGACTGGGTCAGACTCAGTAGACTCCACCCCATGTGTGAGGAGGGACCAGGTAGGGGAAGGAGATTCTGTGTACCTTGATAAACGTGATCCCCACTACCAGGCCCCGCTTTGGGGGCGACTTGTTGAAGGTGTCGATGGAGACAATCTCAGCATCCACTGGGAGGGGAAAGTTCAAAGTTCAAGTTTCTGGCAGACTTAGAACCACAATACTCCCATCACTGTGACCCCTGACCTTTGAGGCTTAGTAACTTTTAACCATTAACAATTACCATGACTTCTGAATTCCAGAGAGTTCTGATTACCATCACCGTGGTAGGAGGGATCCTAAACCTAACCACTTCCAGGCCCCTAACATCCCTGCGCTCTGACCCCAAAGCCTCCTGATTACCATCTTCAACCCCCTTCAGTCACCCTGGTCCCATTTGCCCATCATTGTGGCTCAGACACAGCCTCAGAAGCGTTCTCAACACCACCTTCCCGGCCCCCGACACCATAGCGCCACGCACCGGGTATGTAATTGAACTGCAGCTCCTTGGCCACCGGCCGGATTTTCTGTCGGAGATCTTGGTAGCGGAAACCCAGAACCTTGCCTTTAAGGGTGGCGGCCAGCAGCTCTCCGCGCCCGCCTGCGCCGCCCGCCAGCCCGTACACGTTGCTCTGCGACGAGAAGCGCGTGAAGCTATCCTCGCGCAGCGGGCAAGGCTCAGCGGCCACGGCCGCCTCTCCCATCACGCACCTTAATCACTCACCCCTGCAGAGCCCGCCGCTATCCTCCCCACCCCGCCCACCGCTTCCGAAGCGACCTGGACCTCGCGGAGCCCACTTGGTCACGCAGCCTGACGACGTACGGAAGCTGCCGTCGCTGCCCTTTACCAAGATGGCCGCCAGCCGGGCTTCCCCCGGGACTGCCCCAACGCGCCTGCGCGCTGTGTGGATTACCGCCACCACAAAGCTGATCGATGGTGTCAGGAACTGCTCAAGCCCTCCCCATCTATCAATTTACTTAAAAGTCACAAGCAGGCCGAGGTAGTTACCATATTTTATAGATGAAGGAATTGAGGCACAGAGAAATAAGTAACTTGTCTAAGATCGCACACCTTGTAAGAAACAGTAGTAAAACCCAAACAAGATAGCTTCATAGTTTAGTCACATCTCTTTAAAAATGGTGAAATGCATTCTTCTTACCCCAAGGGGAATCTAGCCCTCTGTCCTAACAGATACCCTCCTCCTTATTGAGTGGCTTTTTCACGTTGGCCCTGATTATCCCATTGAATTCTCATAACCACCTTGTGCTTAGGGCGCATTGGTTTATCCAGCATTTCTGGGGCACTTACTATGTACCTTCTCAAACTCCGATAACCCTTGCAACGTCCCTGCAGAGGCTTATTTGCCCAATTTATAGAGGATGAAATGGAGGCTCAGGGAGAGTTAAGTCCCTTGACAGGCTGGAGAGTGGTGGACAGAATGCTAACCAGGTGTTTCTAACTCCCCGACTTCAGACGTTCCTGTTTTGTCCTTAGAATGGCATCTGGGGCATGGGGACTCTACCCCTGTATGTTGTTTCTGGTGTTGGCCGACTGTTCTGTCACCTCTGCCTCCCACCATGCAGAAAGCAGGCACACACAGCTTCCAAGACCTGTGACGGCAGTGAAATCCCCAGCACCTGGATTACAATGCCTGACACAAAGCATGCATTCAATAAATGTGTGTTAAAAATTCAAACTATGGGGCAGGCCTTTTGCCAGACACTGTTACATAAGAGACATAAAAGGAAGGTTCTCCAAGGCAGATTAGACGCAGAGGGTGAACAAGAGTGTGTCCATTCTAGAGTTCTGCATGTGGGGAGTGAGAACTCCTTGAGGGCAGGGTCCGAGGTAACCTCTCAGCTACATTCACTCAGTATTTGCCGAGGGAGTGGATCAATTACAGGTTGAAAAGAACTGTCCTGTTCAGTGGTCTCTACCCCTAGCTGCACATTTGAATCACTTGTGGAACTTTCAGGAGACACACAAACCCACCCCCCAAAGGGTGGGGAACCTCACCAAACCAGTTTATCGGTGCAACACACGCTTGAATACTTTGAAATATTTACTTATTGATTTGTGAGAAACATGGGTTTGTTGTGTCACTCATGTCTTCATAGTTTGATTCTTGTTACCTGCCCTGACTAGGGATCAAACCCACAACCTTGGCGTATGGGGACGGTGCTCTAACAAACTGAGCTACCTGGCCAGGGCCAAACTTGAGTCCTTTTAATGATTTCAAGCACAGCCAAGATTGAGAATTATTTTCAGTCACAAATGACAGAAATAGATTTTTGAAAAGATTTTATTTATTTTTAGAGAGGAGAAGGGAGGGAGAGGGAAACATCAATGTGTGGTTACCTCTTGAGCGCCCCCTACTGGGGACCTGGCCTGCAACCCAGGCATGTGCCCTGACTGGGAATCAAACTAGTGACCCTTTGGTTCATAGCCCACACTCAATCCACTGAGCTACACCAGCCAGCGCAGAAATAGATTCTTAAACCATTGTTCAGCCTGTGCCTGTGATAGACATCAGTAATCAACCTCAGGTCTCAGATCTTAGCTGAGCTGGAGGCAGCCATTATCAATCTATGGAGTCGTGGGAGCAGAAGGGGAGGGTGTCCCACAGACCACCCCGACACGGTGAACCTCTCTTGAACTCCATCCCGGCTCTAGGCGGGAGCACTGTCTGAGGAGCCCACCCTGGTTTCCAGGCAGCGCCCCCTCTGCCCTGCTCACCTGCCTCCTCCCACTGTCCCCACCTGGACGTGGGAGCACACACACATCGGATGGTTCACTTGACTTACAGGCCCACACGGTGGAGTGCGCAGGTGGGTGGCCCTTGCCCACTTTTCCAGGGCAAAGGAATTCTGTCATCTCCTCTCCCACACCCCATACCCACTTGGTCCGCTACTCTGCCACCAAAGCTGCTTCTCCCCCAGCCGTGACACACGGAACGAGTGCACCGGGGCACTGTGGGCGTGGGTGAGGCTGGGAGACTCGGAGGGCCTCTCCCGCCCCATCCCCCAGCTGCTGCACCCATCCCATGCCCAGGCGAGGAAGCCAAGGCACACAGGTGAAGACACCTACCCCCTCCCACACAGTGTGGCCAGAGCCCGGTGGGGGCACCAGGAAGGACAGGACTCTGGCCCCAAAGGAAGGAGAGTAGCAGAGGTGAGGAGGCAGAAGGACTCATGCAAAAGTGTTGTTGTTTTATTTTCTTTTTGGGGCCAGCTGCAGCTTCCGACCGACGAAACCTCAAAGCACTGGGATAGGAGCAGATGTGGGGTGGGTGTGGGACGGCCCCCCGAGCTCCAGGGCCTGGGGTCTCTTTGGGGAGGTAGGGGCTGCAGGAGGCTGGGTAGCTCCTGGCGCTGGGGGAGGAGCCCACCCCTAGCGGCGAGAGCGCCCCTCAGCAGCTCCATGTGCTCTGAGCTCCACTGGGGGAACAGAAGTGGGGAGACAGAAACCAATCTCACGCCTCAGCTGGTCAGGAGGTAGGGGGTCAGATGCTGACCGCACTGTCCCCTGCCTCCCACTGGGGCAGCACCCACGGCAAATAGGTCTACATCACAGATTTTGTATTTTGGGGTGGAAAGGGGTACCTTTGGGGCTTAAATAAATGGGCAGGGGAAGGGGTGCAGCGAGAACAGAGGGTGGCTGTCCCCAGCCAGCAGGCCGGTGCGGAGCCTACATCGTGGCCTGTGAGACGCCTGGGGGGAGGGAGGGAAGGCCCCAGACCAGGTCTGGGGCCACCTCTCTCGGGGCTCGCGCTGGAGGGGCTACCGGGAGAGCAGAGGGCGGGAAGAGGGCCCTGGCGCGGGTGGGGCTTAGCGGAGGTCCTCTTCGTCGCCCTGGATGGTCTTCTTGATGCGCAGCAGCATGGTGGTCAGCCACTGGTCCAGCCGGGAGATGGAGTCGTACTCCTTCACCTGGGGCACAGTGCGAGGGCCATGTGCTGACGGGCGGCCAGCCCCACCCCGGCCGGCCCCCTCCCGGTCCCAGCCCTGAGGCACCAGGCCTCTGGGGCTCTACACGTGTCCTGCCAGCCAGCCCGCCAGGTTGGAGGAGGCGCGACGGGGGCAGTGAGCTGGTGGCTCCCTTTAATACCATTACTAACCTGAGTGTCAGGCTTCCTTTCGGGAAAAAATAGATTTTGTAGCTTAACAAAAAAAGGGTCTAGCTTCCTTGCGTTAGGGTTGGGAAGCTGAACCTAGAGACGTGACCAAGGCCTGTCCCAAGTGGCACCGGGAGCTGGAGAGAGAACCCACGCCCGTCCTGCCCCCACCTCTCCACTGGGAGCCTCCAGGTTTCCCCGCCACTTCTGGGGGCGGTGGGGTGGGGTGAGCAGGGGGGACCAGAGGGACTGGAGGGAGCTGGCCTGTAGTCACTAGGGACCTACAGCTCCCGGGGGGCAGCTGCTCAGCCCTGAGGACCTGGTCAGGTCCGGAGCAGGGCACACAGGCTCCAGAACGCGTGGACACACCTGCAGTGTGAAGCTTCGTAGGCACGCGTTGCTGCAAGGACGCCCTGCCCACGCCCCAGCCTCCGCCCCACCTCCTCTTGGCTCTCCCTCTGGAGGGGGGAACGTCTGCTCATTTCCTCCCTCTCTGCTCTGCTGCATCACCCAGACCACCTGGTGGGAGGTGGCGCTCCACCGCTCGGCCAGGGGGACTCCAAGCAGGCAGGTAGACGTGGGTCTGAACCCAGCTCTGCTCCCGGGGCACCAAGGACACGTCCCCTCACCATCCTCAGCCTCAGCGCCATCACCTCTACCACGGGGAGGACACTCCCTCCTTCTCTCGGGGCCCCTGGGAGGACTCCAGGGTGAGCTGGAGGAAGGGACACACAGCCCAGGGCCAAGGTCGGGGACAAAGAGGGTGAGAGGCTCGGCAGAGCATGCCCGAGACGGGCAGCCACCCCGCCAGCCACTCACCGCCTCGGTGTAGCTGTCCACATTCTGCTCTTCGTGGGCTTCAAGCAATTTCTGTAACAGCAGGGCAGGCTCGGGTCAGGGCCCCGGCTGGGCGGGGTCACACCCCTGCACACACCATCTGGGGGGATGAGCATCGGGGACTCCCTCCCGTGTGGGAGGTGGCAAGGCGGTGTTCCAGTGCTGCCCGTGTGGGGAGTGGCCTGCAAGCTCCAGGACACAGGCGACACGTGTGTGCACGCGCACGTGTGTGTGTGTGTGTGTGTGTGTGTGTGTGTGTCCCAGCTCAGCCCTGACCGGCTCTGTTGCTGCCTGAGTCTGGTCTCATCTACAAAATGGAGACCCAAATGGCAGACCAGGAGAAACAAAATAAAAACAAAAACCCTTGAGCACCATTGCACGCATCTTGGTGGTTGCACTAGCTGGAGCCCCGCCTCCAGGCCCCCCAGGCCCGGCTCCCGAACACCCCCTCCCAGGCCCAGATGTGAAGTGGCGGGGGATGGGCCCCAGCACTCACTTTCATCAGCTTGTACTCCCGGGAGTCAGAGAAAGCGGGGAACAGTTCCTCGTACTTCTGGACAGCAAGCTGGGCACCGCAGAGCGTGGGGAAGGAAGGGGACAAGCTCAGGAAGAGGGGCCGTGGAGCCACTGGCCCGACAGCCCGGGGATCAGAGGACAGCCTGGGCCCGGAGTCGGCTGTCCGTGCCTGTCCCCCAGCCCACGAGTCACCTGGCTCTGTGCCTAGTGGCACCTCCATGGAGCTGAGCTCAGCACCAGCCGGGCTGCAGAGGCAGCTGGCGGGGACAGGGAGGCGGACAGGGAAGCTCAGGGGAGGATTCCAGGCCTGGAGGCCAGTGCTCCTTCCTGAACCTGGTCACCCAGGGGAGGGCGCAGGTGACCAGTGCCTGCGTGCCTGTCTCGTGCCAGGCCTGTGCTGGGCACCTCTCACATTTCACCAGCATGGGGACCCAGGGAGGGTCACATGATGGAGACCCCCATTTCAAGAGCAGGCAGCACCCAGAGAGGGCAGTGACTTGCTCAGGGCACAGGGTGAGCAGTGGGAAGGGATCTGAACAGGCCGCTCTTAACCTGCCCAGTCAGATCAGGAAGGGGAGGGGGCTCGGGCAGCAGGAAACCCCCAAGAAATCCTGGACTCTGCAGTCCAACTCTATCCCCGGGCCACTCCCTGCCCCTCGCCAGCACTGACCCCTCTCGCCAGGAGGCCCTGAGGGTGGGTGGGTGGACACGCAGGCTGCGGCGAAAATCGAGACACTGGGAACCCAGGAGATCTGGAGTCTGGGCTGCATTTACTAGGCACTGGGCCTTGAACAAGGGACTCTGGCTGTGACCTGCATCTTCATCTGTGACATGGGGGACAGTGATGCCGCCCTCAGGGGGTGCAGTAAGGATTCAGGATGTGTCATCATGAAGAGCGAGCCCAGCACCGGCAGGACGGGGACCGGGAAACTCAAACACTAAGGGGCCGGGCAGCTGGCATCAGGGAGGAAACGCAGCTGTGAGAGCAGGCGGTGCTTACCCCAGGCGACTGTCAGGGCCTGGACGTGAGGGGCCACCCTTTCTAAGGGGCCGAGAGGGGCTCTGGTTCGGGGACAGTGGTCCTAGTGTTCTGAGGAAGGTCACCTGGTGGCTGAGGAAAGCTCTGGCGGGCTCACCTTGGCGTTGAGCATGTCGATGCAGAAGTGGCAGAGGGCCGCTTTGAAGAAGTAGTCCTTGGCGCTATACTTGAGGAGGGGGCTGTCCATCGCGTTGGTCCCCACCTACGGGGGTGTGGAGGCCACGCTGTGAGCTCATGCTGAGCCACCAGAGGGCTGGGGTCACTGCCAGGCACTCGGGGGCCAGCTGGGGGCGGGGCCCATGCCCCAGGGAAGCTGGTGATGTGCAGTGAGTGACCAAGGGCCAAGAGGTGATGGGGGGACAGGTGTTGCCGCGGGGCCAGATGCCTGTGCGCCTCCCAAGGCACCCCAGATGGGCAGAGGTGGTGGCCCCGCTATCAAGCCCGACGGGGGGCTGGCCCGTGGGTGGGCAGAGGGGCAAAGGCGGCAGGAACCTGAGGAGCAGCAGCCCACCTCTGCCCTGGCCAGGCCGCACCCACCAGGACAGCTGGGGCCCCGCCCACCCCGCACAGCGGAGAGGAGCCCGAGCAGCCATGTCCCTCTCCTGTGTCCCCTGCCTCCTCCCCGGGCCCCTCAGCTGCCTCTGCCCCCCACAGAACAGGCTTCGGCAGTTCTTCCCACTCCCTCCCCCACTCTGGTTCTTCAGAGTCGGTCACTCTGGGGTCAGCCAGGAAGCTCCTGGTGAGGACTGAGGGCTGGGAGACGGCGGTGACACCACACATGGGCACAGGGGGAGAAAAAGGTCAGCCAGGCTGAGTCCAGGGTCAGGGCCAGGGAGATGACAGGGAAGTGGAGGGGGAGGGGGGAAGAGGCAAGAGAGAGGGTGACGGGTGGGGGGAGCGGCAGCAGCACCCAGGGCGGGTGCAGTGCCCTCTGCAGACGCAGGGCTCGGAGCCCCTCTGTGCCCACCTGCTCGTAGATGTCAATGGCCTTCTGATACTGCTCCAGCTGCGCGGCGTAGCCGGCTACCTTCAGCAGACACTTGTTGGCCGAGCTGTGGGGGGGCAGAGAGGGGGAGCTCGGGGGTGCTGCTCACAGGGGCACTGGGGGGACTGGGCGGCAGGAGCAGAGGGGGCCCCCTGGGTACCTGTTGGACTCTTCGCCCTTGTAGTAGTCTGCGGACTGCTCGTAGTGGGCGATGGCCTGAGGAGACACGGGAGGGAGGGGGCGACGAGGTGGCACCGTAGCCTTGGTCACCGCAGCCCCCACCCTGCCCGGGACACGGCCAGAGCCCTTCGCCTCAGTGCTGCCGGGGGCCCCATCCATTGTCCCTGCGCTCAGACACCAGAGGGCTCCCGAGTGACAGGACAGAGAGAGGAGTCCGGGTGCCAGGAGCATGGCCGCGGCAGCCCCCTCACCCCTGTGGGCTAGGCACCCCCACCGCCACACACCTTCTCGATGTCCACCAGCTCCGTCTCGTAGATCTCCGCGATGGAGATGTGGTGCTTGGCCGCGATGGTGAACCGGCCCTGCGGGGGACACGGGAAAGGAGTGTTGGTGGCCGATGCCCCCCGCTGCACTGTGCCGCCCCCCAGCCCCCAGAGTGGTGGCTCCCTGCTGCTCAGCCGCACCTGGGAGGGCACTGAGAGGCGGAGGCACGGGGCTTAAAAGGGAGGCTCCGGACAGAGAGGGCCGGCCTGCGTGCTGCCCTGCCTGGGTGACCTCGGCCGAGACAGCCCAGGCTCCCATCCAACGCAGGGAGCATGGTGGGTGGGGCGAGGAGCCTGGCAGAAGTCCCGCCCGAAGAAGCCTTTGACAGGTGGCTGAGAAAGGCCGTGGCAGGGCCAGCCCAGGGTCGCCTGGTGAAAGCTCTGGGGAAACCGGGGCCCCGATGTCTCCACAACCCAAGGTGGCCTTGGCCACCCCCTCTGCCAGTGTGGCCATTGAGGTGGCCTTTCTCACAAGCCAACCCGCCCTCCCCACCCCCTCCGCTCTCCAAACTCCCCTGTGGAGGGCCGGAGCTCTCCTCAAGGAGGCCCCCGGCTCCCAAAGGGGCTGAGCACACCCCACCTGCCTCCACCCAGGGTGGGTCCAGGTGCCTGGCCGGCCGCTCTGCACCCCCAGAAGGGCTGGGCCTGGTTCTGGGTCTCAGCGAATCCTGCCTGCGGATGTGTGGCCCGTGACTGTCAGATGCACTGACAACAGCGGCCACCTCACAGGGCTGCTGTAGGAGAGTGGGACCACTTCACTGAGTGGCTCGTTAATAAATGCTGTGACTATAATACTACAGTATCACCTGGGACCCACGGGGCAGGACCCTCTTCCTGCCTGGGAGAGGGGTCTGACGAGACAGAGGGGACACATGAAGAGGCAAACAGGAGAGCTCACAGCAGCCTGAGCCTGCTTTTGGTCTGCAGTGCTGGCTCCCCGGCCTTGGGCTGGCAGCCGCCTCCCTGGGCCTCATCCGTTGTTGGGGACGTCCCCCGGGGCAGTGCAGGGGCTGTGCCCACTCCCTGCCGCCCCCGTAGCCTGCTGTGAGCTGGTCATCACATAGGAGGCTGGTGGGGAAGGCCAGGCACAGGGAGAAGGACAGGTGCCCCCAGTAGCCTTGACTCCTGCAAATGAGGATGCTGCTGGGCCGTGGGAAGGCTGTGAGCAGGTCCTGGGGAGGGGCCTCGGTGACCTGCCGGCTGGGGGGGGGCGGGGGGGGGCTGCTGCCAAGGACCAGGCCGTGGGGAGCTGGGTGAGGACCCAGCCAGCCCCTCCCAGTGCAGGTGACCAAACCCCCCGGCTCCCACTCCCCACCTGCTCTCAGTGCTGGAGGTGGGAGCGGGGAGGGGAGGCTGGGGCAATGGTGGCCAGGGAGCGGGCACGGGACATGCAGTGGCCCTTACCATGTCTGTGTATATCTCGATCGCTCTCATCAGACAGTTTATGGCCTCTGGGGAGAGAAAAAAGGTGGGGGGAGCAGTGAGAGCACGAAGCGATTTCAGTGGGAGGCGGGGATGCAGGGCGGAGGCTGCCTGCGGGAGAGACTGATGGAGCGGCCAGGGTTGAGCTCCCTGGGGAAGGGGGGGGAGGCTGGGGGGGGAAGGCGAAGGGATCCCTGAGCCCAGGACCCTGGTCAGACTCACTGACTCTGCAGACTGCTCACTGGGCACACGCTTCAGAGGGTGGCCTGGCAGACGGGGCTGCCCTGCCCCTCGAGTAGCCACAGCGCCACCACCTTACCGGCACCTCTGGGGCAGGACGCGGCAGTGCCAGGTCAGGCTGCCGGGAGCCACATCTCCCACGGCTTCACCCTCCAGGACTGAGCTGCTGGCCGGGGGGAGGTGGGGCCAGCTGCAGCCAGGCCTGACACTGAGGGACGCGCAGGTTCCTGGGCTCTGCCACCCTTCCACCGTGGGACCCCGAGGCCCTCCAGTGGGAATCCCTGTCACTCCCTGGCCCCGACCGCAGCATTCAGCAGAGTCCCCCCACCCCCTGCGCCCTCCCTAACCCGCACCGACACCCGGCAGCTCCTCCAGCCACAGGCTTCCGAGGAGACAGATGCTCGGGCGGCACTGGAGAGGGGGTCGGGGCTACCTTTGTTGTACTATCTCTTGCAAGACTTTAAATTTGGGAATGGCTTTCTCCTTTGACAAGTTATTTGGAGGAGAGAGAGAAGCGTGAGTGGGAGGCATTTTCTAGCAGAGAGTGATGAGCTCTCGGGTGGATTTTTTTTTTAACACTGTTTTAACGCATCTCAGGGGGAAAGGGAGTTCGGGGAGGTGGAGGGGTAGGACAGACAGCCTGAACAGGACACAGGAGAAGGGTCCGCGCGGAGCCGAGGCTGACGGTTCCTCCTGCAGCCCAGGGCACTGGCAGGCTCCCGGGCTGCTGCCAGGGTCCCCTAGGGGCTGAGGTGCTACAAAGACACATAAGGCCTGGCGCCTGCTCCCTTGAGGGGCTGGCGGCCTCACTGCCCAGCGACAGGTTTGAATCTTCACGCGGCTGAGCTCTGGGCTGGGCTTCCAGGGAGCCCACCAGCCCCCGAAACTCACACACAAAGTGTGCATCTGTGAGCACTGCCTGGGAGTGAGGGGGTCTGGGGGTTTCATCCCAACCTGAAAGGCCTCTGGGGACCCCAAAGGGATTCGGAGAGCAGACACCTGCCGGTTAAGGTCCGGAGGCTGACAGCTGGAAGCCTGAGCTGGTGGGGAAGAGGAAAAGGAGGACAGACAGGGAACCCCACAGAAATGAGAGCTGGAAACACTCAGCGGGCCTTTAACACACACTCTCTGACACAGCACTTTGGGGAGTGACCAGTGAGCCAGCACCTGGCTGCAGCACCAGGAAGAGGACGGTGAGGTGCCTTGCACGGGGTTGCAGGGAGCGGCGAGAGGGCACAGCGCATCGCCCCTGCTCCAGCCTCCACCCCAGGGGGTGGGAGTCACCAGCAGGCACCCTGTGACTCACCCATGCCCTCTCCAGTCCAAGCCCACGCCTGTAGGCAGAGGTGGCAAGGCTGCTGCTGGTGAGATTAGCAGCCAGAGGAGGAGGGGCCGGGAGCTCCCCTGGCACCACAGACTCCCCGCAGCTGCCTCCCCAGGCAGCAGCGGCCCTGGAGCACTGTCAGCAAGGCAGCCCTTGCCGTGTGGCAGGGGAGGCTCTGCCCCCGCCTTGCCCCCACCTGTGGCAACAACATCGACTCAGAGGACTAAATCCCCTTCATGCCTGCTCTGCACTCCAGGGCACCTGTCCCCGAAAGCAGCAGGCTGCCAGCTGACACCCCGGCAAAAGTGCAGGCGGACAAGCCCCTGACACACTGGCTATAAGTGGCTCGTCTTACTGGGCCATAAGCATCCCCAGGATGAGGGGCAGTGCACCCCTGGAGAAGCAGAGCCAACTCACCCGCCATCCGCCCGCCCACAGAAAGCTGGAACTGGGATGGGACACTGGGAGTGACCGGCCCAGGCTGGGGGAGGGGGCTGAGGCCCAGGGAGGGGAGGCCCTGGCTGGGGGGACGGGCAGTCTGAGTCCCAGGGCCCTCCATCCTGGGCTCCAGGTGCCTCCCATCCATCCTGCCTCCCACCCCACTCCTGCAGTCCACCCCCCAGCTTGGCCAGTCTCCTGGGTAACCCGGGAGAACCCCAGAACCCCAGGAAATGGAATGGATTGAAAGACGATGCCAGAGGCTGGTGCACAGAAGGCATCTGGTAAGTGGCAGTGGGGTGCGGGGCATGAGGGGAGGGGAGGTGGGGGCCTGGCCCTCTCCGTGCCCCAGATGCACACGCAGCCCTGCCTAGCTGTCACCATGCGGAGTAAGAGACCTCCCTGGTCTGAGTCCACTCAGAGCGGCAGACAGCGGCTGGGAAACTCTGCAGAATCACCGACAGCTGTGGGCATCGCCTCCCCGCCCCCACCCCCCAGGTGGCGGCAGGACACCCCTGACCCACACTGAAGGCAGGGCCCTCAGGGCTCCTGGGGAAGTGCTGATAAAGCATGGAGGCCTTTGAGGCAGGTGAGGTGATGGGCAGGGCCCCAGGGAGCCAGTCACCTGCTCAGAGAAAATGGGCCCCGTTCCAAACCGGCCCGCCAGCTCTGTTTCACTGGGCACGGAGCCCAGGAAGGAGGCTCAGGGCCCGGGCCAGGCCCGTTGGATGCGAGCCGAGGGCTGCCCCTCGCTGGGCTCTCACCGAGTGCCAGGTGCCACCCCGGGTGCGTCTGCGCCTGACCTCCTGGGTGGTCTCTGCCTGGGCAGAGGAAGTGACTGTCTGAGGTCATGGAGAGCGGGTGCCTCCCGGCCCTCTGAGACCACACGGAGCCCCACGCAGCTGCCACGGACCTCTGTGGAGTGGGCCTGGCCCCAGTCACAGAGCAGTTGTCACCCCAGGTGCAAACGTGCCCTCTCTCCTGACCCTGGCTCCAATGGTCCCCAACTCGGCACTGTGACGGGGGCTGGCAGTCATGAGGCAGTGGTGCTGGGTGGGTGCCACCTGCCCGAATAAGGCTGTTCGCTGCTCCACTCCTCCTCTTGTCCCCCCACCCTATCCCCAAAACCACCCACTACCGCCTCAGCTCCCAGGGCAGCAAACCATGCTCGCTGACCCCTGGAGAACCTAGGTCAGCCTCTGAGCCCCCGAGGGGACCATCACCACACCTATGCACTGCCGCTTTCTCGTCTCTCAGCAGACGCTGCCCCCCTCGGAGCTCCCTAAAGCCAGGCCCCGGGCCACGCCCCACGCACGGCCCCCAGCGCCTGCTGAGAGATGAGAAAATTCAGATCAAAAGCCAGGGAAGGACATGACATCACAGTGCCAGGTGGGGCCGGCCCACGGGAAGCGCTGGGCTTGCTGAAGGAGCAGCTGGTGCTGGGCACCTGTCACGCGGCCTCGCACTCTCCTCCCACCCCAGGAACAGGTCCTTCCAGCCATTCAGGGGCAGCACCTGCAGGTCAACCAGAGCCCCAGGGAGCAGAAGAAAGGCTGGGGTGGGAGTGGGGCTCTGTGGGGGACACAGACTTCCTGGGGTGATTCCAGCTGGAAAAAACACCCAGGGATGGCTTGGGTCATCGTCACCTCGCCCCCACGGCTGGCAGTGGCTCAGCGCTCAGCCCTGTGCAGAGAGCGACAGTGACCCACCCAGTCATGAGGCCTCCCCGCCGGCCCTTGCTTGCTGGGCCCGAGCCACCACGTGACTGCTCAGGCCCACGTCTGTGAGACGCCCAGTGGCAGAGCAGCGACTGGTCAGGACGGGAACAGAGAAAAGCTACGGGTCTAGCCCGAACTCAGACCCTGGGAACCAAGTGCCCCCGACAGCAACACAGACTCGCCAGCAGGCCCCAGGGCTGGTGTGCGAGCCAGGGCTCGATGGCCCCCGTGGGTGCCTCTGTGGGCTGCTGCCCGCTGCCCCCCTGGAACTACAGGCCTTTATTCAAGACCGTGCATCTCCTTAAAAACAAACAAACAAACAACAACAAAAAAACCCTCATGTCCTTCCCAGTCTCATGAGAGGAGAGTGACAGTAGATGGTCTCAAGTCTTGGCTTGCTAAAATTAAAAGTTAGCAAGCCATGTCTGGCACCAAGATTTAAAAAGTGTATTAAAATTCAAGCTCCATAAAATGGAAATTCTGGTGCCCACTGGGCTTCCGCTCCCAGATGAGCCCAGGGGGACAAAATGGTGCTCTCACTGAGAGTCACCCTGACCAGGGCTTCTGTCGCCAGCACCCTCTCACCTGCAGGGACTCGTGCTCTGGCAACTCCGTCTGGGGCTGTCTCCCTACCCTCCCACCCCAGGCAGGGAGGCCAGGTTAGGGTAACTTCCTCTCCTTTCTCGGCAGGGCTTCTACCTGGCTGGGCTCAGAAACCCTCCCGCCCGCTCTGCGTGTTAATTCTGACAACAGAACAGATTTTCCTCTCCCCTTGGCATGCAGCAGGGCTGAAATGTAACTCCCACTCCCAAATGCTCCCAGGCTTTGGGAGGGGAGCCATCAGCCGCGCGCGCGCACACACACACACATACAGTGGAAGGGGGAGGCGGCGGCTCAAAGCCGGATGCCAATGCCAACCGGAAGGGAGCCAGTTCTGAAATTAAAACTCGAGCACCTCCCTGCCAGCCTATTGCCCAGCAGTCACCAGAGAAAACCGGAGCCCAGTGGAAACCTGAGGACCGCCCTGCACGATGCTCAGCTGATGCCCCAGCGGCCCACCGGCCCTCCTCACCTTGGGGGTCGGCTTTCTTGAATGCGTTGCCGGCGTCCACAAAGCAGGTGGCTGCATCGTGCTTGCTCTGAAGCTGCAGGTGCAGCTGGGCCGCCTGGCAGAAAGCATTTCCGGCAGCTGCAACAGAAGAAAGTGTGGCCTGAGTGGGCACCACGCTTTTTGTGAGCCACACAGACACTGCCCTGGGCGCTCTCCAGAATAGAGTCCCAGGGAAAGCAAGGGGGTGGCCTGGGTGAGCTGAGGTCTGGACGGAGACCTCAGCCTCGGGACCTCAACGGTGTCTCCTGGGGAGCTGGGAACCGAAGGGGCTGAGTTAGGGGATGGGGCCAGGAGGGGGCGTGGGGAAGACGGGGGCAACTGAGATTCTGCTCCAAAACACTCCTGGTTTACTCCCGCCTTCTCAGTCCCATTTCTTTCCCCCGACTCCTCTGCCTCTGTCCTCGCTCTGGTCCCTGGTGTGGAGCCACTGCGGGTTGTGTGGGCAAGTCAGCGCCCTCATCGTGAGGTGCATGGCAGCAGGGTGGGGGGGTGGGGGGTAACATACAGGGTCTGCTCTGTCCAGGAGCTTCACGTCCTGAGAGGGAAGTAGGACGTGGACACCAAGATCTTGAGGGCGTAGGGACAAGTGCCCATGGGCAGGGGCAGTGGACGCCGCACACTTGAAGCCCAGTCTGTCCTGTACTCTGCTGCACACTGTCAGCTTCCACGGGCCCCAAGCCATTCTGTTTATGTGTCTCATCCCCAGGGGTGGGGACCGTGCTAACTGAGACCTCACAGCCACCTCCCGCTCAGTTCTGAGGCTGCTTCCCTTCATTGTCCTCCGCCTCAGTCCCAGTCTGAGAACTTCTGAGCTGGAAAGGCACAGGAGGGCCTGGCTCTGCCCCACACCTCTGCGGCAGCGGGCCAGACGCGGCCCCCAGGTCTCCTGATGCACGAGCCCTCTATTATTTCCAAAGGGCCAGAAACTCGAGTGCAAAATCTCCATAAAAGTTACTATAACTGGGTTAAAAAACTGGCCTAGGAATCCTGTTTGAGTAGTTGGGGGCGGGGTCTACGAATTTTAGGGGAAAAGCAACATCTACGTGATCGGAAGATAAGTGTTCTTTCTTTTAAGACACTTTATGAGTGCAGGAGCACACACACACACACAGCACCTGCTCTGTGTGGAAGCTCAGCCCTTCCCAGAAACGACAGTGACTGACTGCACTCTGGGCCTTCACAGCCCATCTCAACAGCCCACCTCCACGGCCCGCCCCAGGGTTCATCTTCTTCTCGGTCAGCAGGCTCCTCTCTGGTTTCCTCGACTCCCATGGCGCCATCTTGCTGGCACTTGAGGTCACAGTATGCAATCGGCCCCCAAAGGGCTCAAGGCGCCGGCTTTGTGAACCTCTCCTCCAGGCCCCCCCCCCGCCCTGCCCCGCAGCTACCTCCCAGAGCCCCGCCCTGCCAGCAGCCTCTGCGCCTCCTCAGGCTCCAGCCAGCCAAGCTCCAGCCTTGGGGAGCCTGACCATGACTCTGGGCCAAGTTGGAAGGGCCAGGACTAGGCTGACACTCTGCCCACCAACACAGGTGTGAGTGTCTCCGAGGCACGTGACCTAGGGTGACCTCCCCAGGCGGAGTATTCCGTGCTACAGCACCACCACGTCCATGGAGTGCTGACTGTCCCTGGTGTCCCCTGACCTCTGCAGACCTGCACTACGGCCTGAGCAGTCTTGACTATTTTCCCATCCCGACACTGAGGGGGACACGGATGAGGGGAGGCCGAGGACCTTCCTGGGGGTCGCAGGCCAGTCTGGGCTGTGACTCAGATCCAAGTTCCTCGGCCCCGAAGGTCAGGAAGCAGCACCGGGGTGGGTTAAATACCCGGCTGTGGAGTCAGGGCGCCAGACTCGGAATTCGAGCTGTCAGTGACTGGTTGTGGGGTCTTGGGCAAGGGGCTGAGACAGGGGCTTGGTTCCCGAATCTATAAAATGGGGGATTAATGAGTGACCCTCAAAGGATTGCTGAGATAGTTCGATTAAACAGCGCAAGCTCGGCGCTCAGCGCAGTGCTCGGTCAATAGGAACTGTGACCAGTGTCACTGGAACCACTCGGATGCCCCCCAGCCCAGAACTCACACTCGGACAGGAGCAGGAGCGGCAAGGAACAGTTTCCAGGGAAACCTGACACTCTGAATTCAAGGAGCAACCCCTCGAAGACCTCCTCACCCACGTGGATCTACCGGACTCAGCAATCGAGTCACCCTCATCCGTCTGTCCTCGCTCCGAGGCCCAGCAGGCTCCGACGGCCAGATGGCCAGCCCACTGGCTTGTGGTGGAGGGGCCTAAACAGACGGGGGGCTGCGAGGCCCCCCTCCCAGCCAGACCTCGGGGACCGGAAGCCGAGGGAGGAGAGGGGGAAGGAGCGAGGAGGAACATCAGCAGAGATCACATACCGCTCCAGTTTTTGGCCATTTTGAACATGTTTGCTGCTCTGGCGTAGATTTCGCAGGCTTCCTCTATTTTGGATGAGCCTCTGGGGAAGAAAAAAATGGAGAGGGAATAAAGGATGGGAAGAATATCCAGTCTGGTATCAGAAGGAAGTGAGCGAGACGGGAGATGTGGCCCTGCGTCCACCCTATGACCCGCCCTGGGCAGCCGCTGCCCGAGGCCAGCTGCAGCCCAGGCCTCTGCTCCCAGCTCGGGGGTGGGGCGGGGGAGAGAGAGAGGGGCTATGGCTCCAACTCCCTCACACAGAGGCTGCCTAGACCTTCCCGACCGCCCCACGCACTGCGACAGCCTCTGACAGCTGTCTCCTCTTCCACTTCCTGCCCCGGCCGCTCCCAGGCCCCCACAAGGCCCTCTTCCCGAGAGACTGCAAAGCATCCTGGGGGAAGTGCCCAGCTTTGGGTGCTGCACCCTTTCCCCAACGACGGAACCCTGTGCCCTGTGAACTTTGCTTGTTCGGTGAGGACCTCCCCACCCCCCGAGCGTGTCACTGCCAACTCAGGTCTGGGCGCGATAGCACAACAACCACGCAGAGAAATGCTGCTTAAAATGAGTATGGGAAAAGTTCCCAAGTGTGTTAAAACAAAACAACGAAAAGAGGGCGAGAAGAAAAGCATATATGTTTGAAGAAAAGCATATATGTTTATATGAACAGGATAATTCTGGAAAAATGCACCAAAAACTAGCTGCGGCATTCTTCTCTGAGGCGGGGTCTGCAGAACTGGGAGCCTGGTGTGAGAGATGGACCAAAACCCTTCGTTTGTACTGAGTGTTTTTTAAAGATTTTATGTATTTATTTTTAGAGGGGAAGGGAGGGAGAGAGGGAGAAACATCAGTGTGTGGTTGCCTCTTACGTGCCCTCTACTGGGGACATGGCCCGAAACCCAGGCTTGTGTTCTGACTGGGAATTGAACCAGCAACCCTTTGGTTCGCAGGCTGGTGCTCAATCCCCTGAGCCACAGCAGCCAGGGCTGATTTTTTTTTTTAATCACCTGCATGTTTTATCTATTCAAGTAAAGAAACGTATATTTTTTAAATATCGGGATTCATATCGGGTCCTATGATCCAGCAATGAATCCCATTTCTAACAATGTACCCTAAGAAACTGTTCAGAGGAGCTACAAGGATGCTCAGCACGGCATTATTTAAAGTGGCAAAACCACCCCCAGAAAATGTACTGTGTGACAGTAGGGACTGGGGAGACACAGAGGAGGACATTTCTGGGGGGGTGGTGTGTGGAAATAAATAAAGAACACCCTGCAGGGACAGCTTTGCCCTGGAGTCCCGACCTGCAAGCGGTGCATGTGACCCTGAATCCTGAATCGGGGGACCACTCAGTAATACCCTCCCTGGGGCAAGTCACTCCATCTCCAATGACCCCCCCAGGCTTAGTCCACAAGGTCTGTGGTCTGGGTAACTGTCCGAACCCCCACTGCCCACGAAAACCAGTCAAATAAAACCCACACACTCAGGAGCCCCCCGATGGGGTCCAGACTCTCTCTTCCCTGACTTCAAGGGATGCGCTGTTTTGCGGGAAGAGATAAGCAGCGACTTTCCAATTGAGAGCCACACAAACCACCTCCACTGTCCCAGCCCTCACCCCGTGTCAAATGGCCCTGAAAGTCGCCACCCCAGCCAGCTGGCAAGGGCCCCCGGCAGGGTAATTTTGGGAGCTGCGTTCGAAGCATGCCTTCACGGCACTGCCAGGGCTGTGGGCCACCTTGCCTGTGATTTTGAATTCCGGGGAGGGGGTCTCCTTGCAATAATCAAATCCGAGCACACAGCCACCCTCCCTGGAGGTGGTCTGGGTGGGGCCTAGGCCCAGGATTTTACAAAAGTCCTCATCTGAGGATATGTTTACTGATTTCAGAGAGAGGGGGAGAGGAAGGAAGGAGAATGGAGGGACAGAGGGAGACTCCGACAGGCTGCCCCCCACCCCCGCCTGCACCAGGGGTCAAACCTGCGGCCCTTCCATGAAGCAGACAACGTTCCCACCCACTGAGCCACCCGACCAGAGCTGGAATCAGGACTTTTAACAATGGTCCCAGATGATTCAGGTGGCCAGGTGAGTTTGGAGGGGAAAAGTTGGCCTAGACTGATGGCTTGGAAAGCAGCCAGCTGTTACCTGTCCTAGGCCGGACGACTTCAGTGGGCAAATCCCGCCCAAGGCCGGCTGGCGTCAGGGGCACTAGGACTGGAGTCCTGGCCCTGAGTGCAAATCACAGCAGTAAGATTCTTCTTTAGATGAACAGCCTGCCCTTTGCTTTTTGGGGCTGTGCTGACGCTGTCTCCCCACCCTCTGCTGTCCCCAGGAAATGTCCCTGAGTACTGCGCCCCCCCACCCCTTCACAGGCCTCACCCCAGCTGGCCCAGTGTGAGCCTCAGGCCCCTGCTTGAAGTGACTGCATTAGAAACCACTCCTGGCCCTGGAGAGGGGAGGCGCTTCCACAGGTTTCTGGCAGAAGAGATTTCAGGAGGCTCCTTCAGGGCCAGGATGCAAAACACCCCAGGGGATGTTCTCTGGAATGTTCTCTTAAAGGAGAGGGATGCACTCACAGGCTAAAATCACAGGTCTGCACCCGGGGGTCCCACCCTCCCTTGAGGGTGCCATGTCCTCTTATTCAGCCCCGGGCAATCTCTGAAAAAGCTCGGGTTCTTGGAGCCTGGGACCGTGACCGACAATAGTAGGCCGGGCCAGCCCCAGCTGGTGTGTTTCAGCTCAGTGGGCTGAGTGGGCACAGGGCACAGAGCCTGTCAGCCGCTGGGCTGAAATCCTCTGACCCCAGACCAGGCTGGGCCTGCCCTGCGCTGGGTCGGCGATTCTAACGTGGGTGGAAAAGCTGGAGGGGCTGCCACCTGCTCAGGCAATGACAGGGGGATCATCCTCTGGAGTCCCACCCTCTTCTTTTAGAGACGGAGGTGGGGTTCCCAGTGGCTCACGGGCAGGCCCTGAGGGAGAAGAGTTCACACAGTCATCTGGGGAACAAATATCTGGGTATTTATCCCGTGCCAACCTGGTCCTCAATCAACAGGAAACCAGCAGGATAACTTCCGAATGACTAAGCACAGGAAGGGCTGGGGAAGAAGAGCTTCTTTGCAGGGGCAGGTCAGGGGCGTGAGCTTCGGGCTGTGGCCCCAATGAGGACTAAGGAGCAGCCCATGGGCAGTCATAGCAGGTGCACGGGCCCTGAGGCGAGCACGGGCCCGGCCACTTCTAGGAGGAGGGGGCCAGGACGGCAGTGGTGCAGGGAGGCAGTGAGGGGAGCCCTGTGCTGGATGGAGGCCGGAAGGAGGTTTCGGGCCACATTCCAATGTGACAGGAGGGTTTCTGGCCGGGAGGCAGTGACGGGAAGGGAGAAGGTCCCAGCTCCACTGCCCGCTGAGGTGTCCCCCCACGTGGCTGGCACACCTGCACGGCTCCCTCCTACAGGCCGTCTCTGCCCATTCAGGTCGGCTCATGTCACCCACCTTGGGTGGGTGACACCCACCTCTGTGGCGAGCACCACAAACCCCCCAAGGTGGGGAGACCCACATTTCCCCCTGCACAGGTTCCAGAGAAATGAGCTGTGTCCGCCTCTTCGGAAGAGCCTGGGCGGCAGCACTGGTGACAGCTGCCTGTCCCTCCCCCACGGACCTCCCCCAAGCCGCATCTGCTTGGCTCTCCCCAACCAGTGGCTCCGAGCCATGCCCAGGAATAGAGGGAACTGGTTTGGGCCGGCCCGGTGCGCGGCTGTCTATAATTACCCACTCTGCGTGGCTCTCTGCCCCCTTCCGAGGCGGAGGAAGCAGTCTCAGGCCTCCCAGGCACAGCCACCAACCTTGGCGATGGCCACATGGAGAGGAGTGAGCAGCGCCAGGAACACACAGCTGCCCAGTGGGATGGGGTTGGGGGGGCAGGGGGATATGCGGGGCCTCAGCTTCCCTCGCTCCCACCTCAACCCTCGGGGCCCCCCTGGGCCCCCACTGCCATGCCACCCACCCCGCCTGCAGTTCCCTCAGGACCTCCAAAGGCAGGGCAGGCACAGTGACTTCCACTTTAGATCCCCCCGACGGTCCTCCTCTCCCGTTCCCCTGTGGGGCACAGCCACCGGCCCTCAGTCCTCCCGACAGGGAGAGTGAGGGCCCAGCCCTGGGCCTCCAGTCGGTGCCCTCGGCGGGGGAGGGGTCCAAGGCCCTGCTCTGCCCTTGCTTTCTCCCATGTGCTCCTCACAAGGGCTGACCACGGCTGGCAGGCCTCCGCCTGGGAGGACACAGAGTTCCTCACAAGAGCCCTTCAGGTCCTCACCTGGGCAGTTACAAACCCTCCTGCTTTACAGAGGAGGAAGCCCACTGGGGCTTGCGGACATTAAGGGGCCTGCCCAAGCCCACAATGCCAGGACACCCCCCCGAGAGGCCTTGGCCCTGGGACCCAGCCTTGCCCTTGTCTCTCCCTCAGTGACCAGGGAGGCTTCCTTCTCTGCCCCGAAGTGGCTTCTGGAAAACGAGGCAGCAGACCAGGTCCCTGCCTGCCCACACCTCTCCAGGAGAGGAAACAGCCCAGGCTGGTCAGGTTTCCCTCGTCTGACTGACCAGCAGGCTGCTGCCTGCTGGACGCTAGCAGGGTGGCCTCTAAGCAGGGAGGGGGAGGTCTTCGTGAAGCCCATCCCCCACAGTGCTGCAGGCAGAAGGCATATGAGAGAACGTGAAGGTCCAGCCGGCACAGGGGGCAGGCGGTCAGCGGCCGGCCGGGCTCCTCTGCTGAGCTGGCAGAGCCGGAGCCTCGGGACTCCTCCCGCACCACCTCCCTGCCGCCCCTGCACACTCTGAGCCCCTCCCTGCCTCCCCGGCTCTGCACTGACAGGCACGGCCGGCACCCACAGCACAGGCCCGGGCCCCAGTGACCACTAAGAACAGAGCTTTACGCACAACTGCCCGGCGCTGGAATCATCCCGGACATGCCGCTGACACAGCGGCATGGGTGAGGGGCAGAGACAGAGGAGACCTGAGGCCCGGGGGGCTGGGCTGAAATGGGGTCTCAGCACTTTGCCA